TTTTTTTTTACAATACTGAGTTAATATTTTCTTCCACCCCCAACCCTACAACCGTCATCCATAACCCTGAGAATTATGAAACCTAAGGGAGAAGGGGCGTCGTTTTCTTAGAATTGCTTCCTGCCGTTTAGGGGGTGATGTTATCTCTGTTGAGTACTGTGAGAAAGCGCTCTGCATTCTTTGGAACTGTGCTGCGTGTTCTTCAGATGTCTCCACAGGGAGAAGATGAGCAGGAAAAACGTGGCCAGGGACACATTGAAGGCAATGAGGTTGAAGATAAAGATGGTGAATAAACAGACATGAGGAATTTTAGAAAGTCATTTACAGTAAAGTTACAGGAAACACAGCCTTCTGGTCTATCAAACTAGGCATCAATATGATGCCTAACACTATTATATTTAAAACTAAGAGCACACTGGGCAGCAGTGATGCCCATGAATACAACCTCTTTAAACCTCTAATTTTCCTAGAAAAAAAGAGACTTAAAAAGTAGTGTCTATCTTGAGAAAATAAAAGGTGCTGAGGCTGGTAGCCAGTCTAGTCTGTTACTAACCTGATTGGTCAGCGTCCAGAAAACAAAAGTTGTTTGTAATGTCTTTTCAGCCATCAATACATCAGGGCAAATGATACATAGCAAACAATCTAGCGGCAACACTCGCGAGAGTGGTGCTGGAGAAACCTGAGGCTGTGAGGATATGATCCACTGAAGAGATCCTTCTTCTCTTGACCCAGTCTGTGATGCTCACCAGAGCTATGAATCCATTCCTCAAACATCAACAATGAATTCCATAATTAAAATGATTGTTAGTATGCTCAGCATGCCCACACCCATTCTCCTTAGAACAATGCCCGAATGTCATCTATCACTGCTTAACCTTTACTAATTTGTCTAAATCATTTCATATATTTGATAAAAAAAAGTCATTTCTTCTTTGTTAAAACCAACATACACATTATCAAACCAGTCAAAAATTAATGTTTTCTAGTTATTCACTTCTTAATTTAGTCAAGAAAATCTTGCATATTTTCTCAGAGACCAGCTGAGGTCCATCCAGATCTTTTATGCCTAACACGCTACAAACCACAATCCTCTTGTCAGATACTGAAGGGCACGCTGACTTCTACTTCACTGAAATGCAAATAAAAAATGAGTTCATTTATAATTTTTGTATTTTTCCCCTTTAGCTTTGGTATTTGGCACTTAAAAAATCCTCATAAATATGATGCCTCTGTCTGATATTTTAGTGCATGGAATTTCTTTGAATGCTTGAAAATTAGGTCTTTAACATCTAATATGCACATGTTACTCAATGTTCTTCCTCCATTTACATTGTCTAATATTTTACCTTATTTGTCATATGCCCTGTAAATAGGAATATGTATGTATGTATGTAGGTATGTATATATTCATACTCTTACAAACATACCCACCAATAAATATTTATTTGAATAAAAATTGCTTCTTTTTTCACTTTAATAATTCAGGTTAGTCTCTTATTCAACTTGTATTGTGCATCTATCTCATGATAAAAGTTATGTTAGTGGTCAAGAAATTGTTTAACCTTGGTTTCATGTTGATATCATAGGATATTATATGCTGGCATTTAGTCAGCTTGAACTTTGTCATTTGAAACGGTGAAAGCAGGAAGACAATGCTACTGTCACATGAAACAGACACTTAAATGGATCAGCTCATCAACACTGCAAGAGTCTTTGTCCTTCTCTGTCTCCTCCTAGCCCAGCATAAACATGTTCAGATTGTACGCTTCTCTTCCCAGCAGTGTCTGTCCCAGGACTCCCACAATAGACAGCAAGGAATGTGTAGACGAGTATGCTGTCTGCTCAGGATGGGAGCTACATTGTAATGTAATATACAACCTATCCTCTTTGATAGCCAAAGAGTAAGCAAAAAACAGGTAAAAAGAAAACACCAATACCAGTCTCATCAGGCTGAGCTACATGAGTCACATGCTTCAGAGAGCTATGCATAGACAATCAATTCTTTGAAGCACTAAACCAGCTTCAGTCACCCAAAGCAATGCTAACCAAAGAGTAATGTATGTGAGTGACCTGTCTTCAGCACACCAGGAGAGGGAATCAGATCCCATTAGAGATGGCTGTGAGCCTAGCCTTTAACAGCTGAGCTATCCCTCCAGTTCCCCTTTTTAAAAGGGTACCTAGGATTTATTAAGATATAAAATGGGGAGAAATGCATGCACCGATACAGAACAAAGTAAACTACGGTCGTCATCGTTCTCTGTTCTTCCTGGGGCTGAATGGAACCAAACATCCCCTCCTCAGATTTCATCAGTCACTTACCCAGAAAACCTATGCCTCCATCGGGCCAGATACCCCAAGGTCACTAACGGAGTGAATTCCCACAACAAAAGAGTGAATGAAGTATGTATTGAAACTTTGCCACCGGTGAGCATATCTTGCTTGGCAGGTTTGCATTGTAGTTCAAAGGGTTCATAGCATAAAAACATTGATACCTGAATTGTACCTTCCAACCTTATAAAAACTATTCATCAATAAGTAAGCCTCTATGTCAACTACATCTTGACTTAGTTATGTCTTATTGCCAACCTGTGTGGTGTTTTCAGCAATAAGGTTTATCTTCTAGTTCTGGTGAGTAATCAAGAAGAACGGCAAGAGTCTGTGTTGTGTGGAGGATCTCTGGGCTCTTAAAGCTGTATCCCATATCTGGCATTGGGATTTTTGTATGGCAAATAATGGCTTCTAAGGTTTATATTATCCAGCCATGCAGGATACCTCCTTTCTAATGCTTTATTTTTTAACTTGTATTTAATTACCTTACAAAATACTAAGGAAAATCAAGGTTCCCGAATCAAGGCTGTAACATCATCAGTATGCATTTTTGGGACCTTTGTCATGAATGTGGTGAGCATTACTTCATGTCTTAATAGTTGAACTATATTATGTTACAATTACATTATAATATAAAATAATTATACTACATTCCCATTATGATATAATTATAATACACTCATTTACATTCAATTTGTATATAAATACATTTATTTCTTTCGTTACTTTAGATTATTAAAATATTAAAAATGCCTGAAGCATTGGTATTTTTTGCACAGAATTTCTCTAGATATTTATAGTACTTTGTGCTTTAATATTAATTATATGATTTTTTTATGTCTAGTTCCATGGAAACTTTTGATCTTCTGACATTTTCTTCTACTTTTTGATTCAATGCTTTCTCATTTTATTGTAGAGTTCTTTCCTAATTTTGGCTAGTTTTATTCTTAGATGTATTAAATTTTAAGAATATTCCTGATTTTGTTCTCAGTGATTTTTGTTATTGATATAAGAAAACTTACTTATTTAAAAATTATGATTTAATATTTTCAGATTATAGTATCATTACACTATTTCCCCATACCTTTTCTCCATCCAAAACGTCTCACATACTTTTTGTTGTTCTCTTTCAAATTCATAGACTATCCATCAATTGTTATATACATACATACATATATACATGCATACATATGCATACATATACATATATATTTCTAAATATGTAAATGCAACCTACTCTGTCTTCATAATGTTACTAGTGTGTGTATGTGTAGCAAACCCTCTTATTAAATAAGAAACACAGAGCCAATACAGAGATGAAAGCCAAGAGGTCAGAGCAATAGCTAAGGGCTAAAAACTTTACCCTTCACTGTCCCTGTTGCACTACCTCTCCAAAAGAGACCTACTTCCCGTGTGTCTGTCTTTTTATAGTGTTTCTGTTCTGCCTTCTCATTGGTTGTGAACCCAACCACATGACCTCCTAGTCACTGCCTGTCTGTACAGACCTCCAGTTCTTCTTTCGTTGGTTTTGAGATTAAAGGCATGTGTCTCCATGCTGGCTGTATCCTTGAACACACAGAGATCCGCTTAGCTCTGCCTCCCAAGAGCTGGGATTAAAGGTCTGCACCACTACCACCCAGCTTCTGCTAAGGCTTGCTATTAACTTTGAACCCCAGGCAACTTTATTTATTAACATACAAATCGTATTTTAGTACAAATAAAATATAACCATAAGTGTGTATATCTCCAGGGCTGACCATTTGGTATTGGATAATCAATTGATGTGCTCTTCCCTAGAGCACACTATTTCTCACAGTGTCAGCATTCCTTGCCCATAGTTGATGCCTTGTGATCTTTCATCAGTCAACTTTTGGATGTTTGATGTCATTGTCCAGCTCATGTCTGGGCTGTCATGATGATGACACTTTTAGGTGCAGCTTCTGACATTACCTAGAGACACAATCTCATAGACAATTCTCTTATCCTGTGACTTTTACAATTTTCCTGCCTCCACTTCCACAAAAATCCCTTTCTGTAGGTGTAGGAGTTGTTTTGTATGTTTTATATGCTAATTTTTCACCCTATTGCTATGACAAATTTGAAGAAAATATTAAGAGAATAAATTAGCACTCAGTCAGTTTCATTTCTAACATAAGATACACCATATCCTGTTTATAGGTCTTTAGAATTAAAGGTTTGCATTCTTAGCCAATATATCAACTACCAAAGAATTGGAAGTAGAGCTTGTTTTAGCTTCTTGCTTACCTTAACAAGAACAGATAGTTATTTTATGGGGGGAAACCATGAGGATTGTTGAAAATGAAAAGAGGAGATAGTCAATGACATTTTATTCCCCCAAACTGATATGATGACATACAGAGAGTATGTGATATCTAACAAGAGAAAAGGAGCTGTTTGCATATTTTGTGATTTATAAAGAGTGTAGTGGTGATCGTAGGAACTTTTGTTACATAGCTACATCTCCTCAGGATGCTTACATTAGCAGTAATGAAGAGCAGAACACCAATCAAGAATATAATGAAGTTTCACATATCACTAGAATAGATATATCTATACCCATGCCTCTTTGAAGGGTTTATAGTGTCCTTCAATTAAATAACCACGTCATCTTTACCACATGCTTTTTCACTTTATTAGTCTCTTCCATATTTATTGCCATAAGATCAAATAAATAAATGGCCATTCCCAAGATTCTCAACCCTATCAGAATGGTAAATGACTCTCTTATCTCTCCATAGAGAAAAGTACAGTTGGTGAATCTATCTTGAGCAAACATTGCTGAGAATAATCAGAAGGCATGCACCAATACAGTTAATCACTGCCCACGTAACAAGAGCAATGGCTTATTTTCCTCCATAAAACCCTGCATTAATCACACTTTTCTGTGAGTTTATTAACTTTTCTATACTATAAGAAAAATCTGGAGAAATTCATGC